CCAAAGGCAACGGCGCGCAGGCCGATCCTGCATAACATCTCCCAAAGAGCTAGCCTTAAAGTCGCCGGGGCCCCCCAGCGGCGCCTGTGGCGCTGCCCCTGGCGCGCTCCGCGCGCCAGGGAGGCGCGCCGCCTCAGGCGCAGATCCCGGGGCTTGGCGCAGCGCCTCAGGAAAGCGGTGCAAAAACCACATCATAAGTTTAGGGCCCCCCCCAAAACCGCCCCCGGGATGAAGCCAGGGGATGATTGCAGGGCCCCTCGGTCTCCCTGCTGGCCTGGGCATCCAAATCGTAGGTTTGTCCTATCCAGGAGGCCACGTTGGCCTCGAGGGCCAAGGGCTTGGCAGTGCCTCAGGAAAGTTGAGAAAAAACCATATCATGAGTTTAGGGATACCGAAAAAAAACGCCTCCAGAATGACCCCGAGGGTTGATTTATGGACCCCATCGGTCTCTCTGCCGTCCAGACGATATGCTTTCCTGTCCACGATGGCGGCGGTATACGCACGCGCGGCAGCGCCTCGCGATGCGGGGAACCTGGTGTCTCGTTTCTCTCGCGCCCACATCGACGGCCGCTTCTCGACGACAGGGGCACAGCAGCTGCGGGTCGCTTCTTCTGAACACCCGTGGATGAAGACGAAGGGGGGGGGCAGGCGCCTCCAGATCGCCATTCCGAACCAGATGCGCTGGAATCTCCCCGGGGGCCCCATGCTCCACGAAACGGCCCATCGCGCAAGATTGGAACTGGGCGAACTCCGAGGTCGCAGTGTCCTCGTAACCGTTCTCAAAACCCAAGCAGTTCGCTTTCCCTGTCGGCGAAGATATTTCGCGGGGCCACGCCCTCGCAACCTGTGAATGCAACCGCGCGCGAGATTCCCGGGGCGGCGAACTGTCGAAACGCAACTCTCAGAATGCTCGGGCGCCAGGGCCATCTGGATGGTCCGCTTTGTCTGGTATAATATGACGTCGAAAGTGGCCGTGCCCTTCCCCCAGGTAAGATCCGCTGGCGCGCCCCAAGCGCTCGCCCCGGGTTGGCCTGACAAAGCCCCCCCCCCCCGCACACGCACGCACACACACGCACGCACGCACACGCGCACACACGCACGCACGCACACACACACACGCACAACAAAAAAATGGTCTAGGGAACCTTGGGGGGGCGCCATCGGCGAAGCAGCGCGGTTCGCCGCAGGTTAACGAATTGGACGTTCAACGAATTCTTCCCAAGGAATGCCGCCTCCTAGCCGTTGATGTTGTAGCCCCTGGTCCGCGCCACCATCCCGCTTCGGCGCATATGTTGAGTACTTTGCCAGAGACTCCGCCTCAACTGCTGTCGGTGCGAGTTTGAAAACCCTCGCGGCGGCTTTGAAGGACTTGGGCGCCACGGGGTCCGCGCAGCTGTCGGCGCTTTGAAGCGGAAGCATATCGAATGCACATTCCGCCCAGACGTCAATGCCCGGGCCAGGGACGATTCGCACCTGCCCCACATCCTTGGCAACGCGCCCCCCGCCTGCGCGGGGACTTCGCGCGACGCCATGGCCTTGGGCAACTCATCAAAGACGGCTTTCCCGTTGAAAACGTCTGCAAACAAGACGAGCTGAACTTGCGCTCCTGCAGGAACCGCCCACGACGCCCACGCAATCACAAGCTTCGACAATTTCTTGAACCAGTCGTCATGTATCAGCTGTAAAATGTGCCAATGAAGAGAATCCGTGGATCCAACCATCGCCTGGTGCATGATCAGGGCTCGAGGCGCCGTGATGTTTTTCGTATGCAGCAGCCTGTAGAATAAGTCAACCGGGAAGCGGTGTGAAAACCACTTACGCTTCTCCACCATCGGGCCCACCCTCAAACGCAGGCATTCTCTGGCAACGCAGTACGTCAAAAACAGAGCCACCAGAATATCGCTCAAATTGTCGAGCGTGACGTTGCACAGCAAAGACAACTTGGCGCGCTTCTGCTGCGCCGCATCTCCCCCGTGTTTTGTCCCCCGTGCCCCCGACAGCCTCTTGAATTCATTCGCAATTGAACGCGCGATGTCACCTCTGCCGGCTGCTTTCTCCAACGCTCTGATGCCCCCGCCCTACTGCGTGCAAGTTGGAGTCGGCCCGCGCTTCACTTGAGGGGCAATGTTCCTGGCAGCCCGCTCTGCGTATACCCCACGCCAAGATACATCATACCCTCCAACGTTGGCCTCCTTCAGTGATCCTGCCAGGACTTCGTCTGGCATGTCTGGCCGCACCATCCAGGGCGAGCCGAATCGATGCCAGGAAACGCCTCCATGACACGAAATGGCTACCGATGGAATCGTCATCAGCCCTATTGGACGCGACTGGTTTGTATTGTCGGCCACGCTTGTCGGCCATGCTCGAGTGCCGTGCCTGTGCGGTCTACCATGCTGGTCTGTATTGCGGGTTTCCCGTATAGGTCTGCCGCGCTGGCATGGTCTGCCGTGCGAGTCTGCCGTGTTGGCACCCCGTGTGGATCTGCTGGGGTTTCGTGGACCACTCTGGGAGGTCTTTTGGCGATCTTTGGGGAGGACGTCTGGGGACGTCTTCGCCGCTGCTCGGAGGCCGCATGGGGACCTCATGGGGGCCGCCTGGGGGTCTCTCGGGTGCGTATTGAGGATGAGGGCCTGTTGGGACCTCTGCTCCCGTCAGCCCTTTTCAGGGGCACGTTTCTGGATAGGCTGTCGGTGGTATTTTTTTGATTTGCGGCTCCAAGGACGACTCCAGAGAGCGGGTCAATCTCGACAGGGGCGCCAAGCGAGACGATTGGCAACGAAGGAACATAGGTCAACGCCGCAATGCACACGCGAGGGACAAAATGAACCTCATTATAGCCACCCCAGGAACGGAAGACGGCAGCAGACTGGAAAAGCCGGCGGAGGGTCGCACTGTGGCGCCAGCCCCCACAAACCAAGCCTGCGGATGGCAGGAACAATGTGCGGGCAGCACAGGAGCCCCAGGAGCGGCACCACCAAACGCGGCGAGGAGGAGCAGAAAGGGGGACAGGGGCGGGCGGCGACGAGGGGAGGGGGGTAGGAAACATGGCCTCATTCACAGAACTCGCTGTCGGGGATACGCGAAGCGACAAGAGTTGTATTCCAAATCTACACAGCCTCCACGACGGTTTAAGATGCCCGACATGACGAACACGAACGGCAATCATGGCCCCAAGACGGCCCAGCACGGCCATCCAATGTCCCACGGGGCCACCAAGAGGCCCCAACAGGTTCCGGTAGGCATTCAGGAGACGAACTCCTCCTCCTCCTCCTCCTCCTCCTCCTCCTCCTGGCACTCCTCTTCCAAATCCTCCTCCTCAAAATGATTCCTTTCCCCATCCCCCCGTTCCTTTGGCCACATAGGCGTTTCCAGCGACATTGTGTTCGAGGCGATCCTTCGTAGGTATTGCCGTTCATTCGTAGGTCTTGCCGTTCATTCGTATGTATTGCCGTTCCATTCGTATGTATTGCCGTTCGTTCGTATGTATTGCTGTTCGTCCGTATGTATTGCCGTTCATTCGTACGTACTGCCGTCCATTCGTATGTATTGCCCCGATGATGAGGGGTCGGAGGAGGAGGGATCAGAGGAGGAGGAGGGATCGGCGGAAGAGGGATCAGACGAGGCGGGAACGGATGAGGGGATCAGGCATTTCGAGAAGGGAGGCGCTGTTTTTGTTTGTTCCCCCAAATCGAAGACCCACCGCCGCGGGATGGTTAAGAAAAGCATTAGCCTGGCGAAAGACCCAATCATTCGCAGTTGCGAACACCGCACGGCAAGCGGGACGATCGAAAGGGACCCCCCCGTGGGGCCGCGAACCGTGTGAGGGGTGCGTGAGGGCTCTGAGGAGAGCGCGCTTCGCGCGTCATGGCCAAGTCGAGTTCGCGGAAAAACGCGCCACGCGTTGCATCATCTGGACACCGGAAAGGAATAATTTCACGCGCTGCGGCCTCAGGGCAGCTCACGACGATCTTTCCAGCGCTTCGCCCCTGTTACTTTTTCCAGCAAGGGCCTCCGCACTCTTTCAAGCGAGCCCCGCAAAATCCAACGGGGGGCCAACGCATGAAAAACCATTGGGGCGCCCGCAGGAAAAACAAAGAGAGCGCACCGCTGATTCCGTTGATAGCCGAAGGCCATCATCGGAAAAACTGCCCGCGTGCATTGCGCGATGACATGCGACCGAGTAGGACGCACGGCGAGGCATTGCGTTGGAAATAGTGGACGTTGGAAAAACTGTTTGGTTGGCATGGGTATTTCGCAGTTGGGGCGGGGCCAGCGTTGAAAATAGGCAAAAGCTGAAAAGAGTAGAAAGGCCGGCCCCAGACACTCTTTCCAGCTTCCCTGTAGGTCGGGCCTGTCCCCCTACAGGGGAATTTTGGGCGGCAAATTTACGACATATTTCAAACAAGTAATCACCAATGGTCAAACAACCGTCCCCATACTATTCTGTGTAACTATTCTTGAATCTTCCTCCTGTAGAGGGACAGGCCCGACTTAACCCTACGCCTATTCCCCCCTTACCGTTGCCCCTCCTCTCGGGGATGGACAGACCGCACTTTAGCAAAACGTGGTTTAGTGAAAACGACCTGAGGCCCAAACCTGGCGGGCGCAGGCCTAGAAAATAACGGCCACGGCGCCCTCTCGAGAACCGACAACGGACAATTCACTAATGGACGTGTCACTGTTGGGGGTTCTGTCCACCCCCGTTTGTGGGCCCCGGAAACGGCAGGGCCGTTTTTTCACAGTTTCCAGAAAAATGTCTCTTGAAAATGGAAACGGCAAAAAAACGGCGACCGGAAACGGCAAAAAAGGCTCCAGGATTGGAACCGCAGCCGGAACCGGTCAAAAAACGGCGACGAAACCGGTAAAAAAGCGGCGTCGGAACTGGCAACAAAAACGGCAAAACGGAACCGGTAAAAAACGGCCGTCGTTTCCAGGGCCCCTAAGCCCCCGACCTTCTCGTTGCCCCTCCTCCCTCCTCCCGGCCCGCTCCGCGCCAGAGCCTGGCAGCACGACCCCGCCGAACCCGACGACCTCTGCGCGCGAGGCGGCGCGGGCGGGCACGGCGCGCCGCGCACTCCTCCCCCCCCGCGGCGTGCGCCGCGGGGAGCCCCTCCGGGATCCCCTCTGCGGCCCGGCGGCGCGCCCAGGCTCCGGAGCGTGAGGAGGCAGAGGGGGGTCCGGCCCTCCTCCTCCTCCTCCTCCTCCTCCTCCTCCTCCTCCTCCTCCTCCTCCTCCTCTTCCCTCCTCCTCCCTCCTCCTCCTCCTCCTCCGCCGCCCCCTTCCCCATATTCTCCCTTCCCCTCCCTCCTCCTCCTCCTCCTCCTCCTCCTCCTCCTCCGCCTCCTCCGCCTCCTCCTCCGCCTCCTCCTCCTCCCTCGCAGGAAGCTCGGGAGGCCCTCGCCCTCCGAGGCGCCGTTGGAGCCAAACACACACACACACACACACACGGACTCCTCTCCGAAACCTCCGGGGGGCCCTATACGAGGCTTCTCACAAGGCCGCACGCCATTTCCGAGAAGCCCCGGCGCCTTCCGAGAATCCTCGGCGCGCGCGCTGCCGAGTCGTGCTGTTCCAGCTGGTCCTGCCGCTGCTGCTGTCACTATATGAACTTCCCCTCCTCGTCATCACCCTCGTCTTCGCCATTCTCTTCATCGGATTCTTCCGCTTCCTCCTCCGTCTCCTCCTCGTCCTCGTCCAACTTCTGCCTCCTTGTCCTCGTCCCCCTAGTCCTCGTCGTCCACCTTCCGCCTCCTCCACCTTGTCCTCCTCCTAAATATCACCATCGTCGTCCTCGTCCTCTCCAGGAGCTTCCTCCTCGTTATGTTACTACCCCTCCTCCTTTTCGAGCAGGCTCCGGAAAAGTAGGGGGGAGCCAGGAGCAGCAGGAGAGAGAGAGAGAGAGAAAACAAAAAAAAGGGAGGGAAGGAGCAAGATCAGGAGCAAGATGGGGACGACGAGGAGCAAGTGCAGCAAGACGGGGAAGACCCAACTCCCCTACGTCGTGTTTCTTTCAAAACGTGGAACGCTGTCGGGGCCGCGCAAACATGGATTAGCGATCCATGGATTTTGCGCGCGGTCGCCAAATCCATGGATCGGGGGAACTGCCCTCCCCAAAATGCGGCTGGTGCCGCCTCGTTCGGTGGCGGAAATCCGCGATTCCCCCTGGAAATGGGACCCGTCGCTAATCCACGCCCCCTTAATCCACGTTTGCGAGCGCCTGACTCTGGGAATTCTAAACCCTTTCCCTCGGGACCAGCATTTCAGCCCGAGGAGAGCGATTTTGACCCTCCCCCTCCGTAACGTCCGATACGGGTGTGGGGGGGTCGGCCCCCGTGGGGTGCGATGCGATGCGACCACCGTTGCGGACAGCGTCTGGGCCTCCTCAAGACCGGGTGGGCGAGGCCGTGGCCTCGGGAATCTGGCGTCTGGACAGCATGCAATGCGAGACAAATGAGCAGAAAATCAAGAGGAGGGACGGAGGGAGGATGGCCCTTGGGGTCGGTCGTGTCAGCCTGTGTGAAAACAGCAACGTGGTCGGTCGGCCCCCGTGGGGTGGTAACAGCAACACGGTCGGACCTCGCGGGAGGGGGGGCCAGGCGCCCGACGACGACAACGAGGACGACGACGATGACGACGAGGACGAGGAGAAGGACGGGGACGGGGACGGGGACGGGGACGACGAGGACGACGAGGATGAGGACGACGACGACGAGGACGACGACGACGACGACGGCTGCCTCTGCAGGTCTCTGGAGGTCTCCCTGGGCCTAAGGTCTCTGGAGACTTCTGGAGGCGTCTGAACCCCTGCGAAGACCTCGCTGACGACGACGCCGACGAGGACGACGACGACGACGATGACGACGACGAGGATGAGGACGACGACGAGGACGAGGACGACGACGATGACGACGACGATGACGACGACGACGATGAGGACGACGACGAGGACGAGGACGAGGACGAGGACGAGGCCGAGGACGAGGACGGGGACGACGACGATGACAACGACAGTCGACGACAACGACGAGGATGACGACGACGACGAGGACGACGACGACGACGAGCGCGACGAGGACGAGAACGGCGACTTCGACGACGACGACGACGGCCGCTTCTGAAGGTCTACAGGGGTCTTCAGAGGCCTCAGGAAATCTCCGGAGGCCCTTCAGAGCCCACGGGCACGACGACGACGACGATAACGACCACGACGACAACGAGGACGGGGGCGATGACGAGGACAACGACGACGAAGACGACGACGACGAGGACAAGGACGAAGACGAGGACAACACGACGACGACGACGACGAGACGACGACGACACGACGACGACGACCTCCGGAGGCCTCTGGAAGCGTCTCCAGGACCCTCGGAGCCCTCGGACACGACGACGCCAACGACGCTGACGACCACGGCGACGAGGACGAGAACGAGGACGGGGGCGAATGCGAGGACGACGACAACGACAACGACCACGACGACCACGACGACGAAAACGGAGGCGATGACGAGGACGACGACGACGACGAAGACGAGGACGACGACGATAACGACAACAACGAGGACGAGAACGAGGACGGGGGCGATGGCGAGGACGACGACGACGACCACGACGACGATGACGAGGACAAAGACGACGACGACGACGACGACGACGACGACGACGACGACGACACGACGACGATACGACGAAGACAACGACGACGATCTCTGGAGGCCTCTGGAAGCGTCTACAGGCCCTTCGGAGCCCTCGGACACGACGACGCCGACGGCGATAACGACAACGACGACGAGGACGAGAACGAGGACGGGACCGATGGCGAGAACGACGACGACGACAATGACCACGACCACGGCGACCACGACGACCACGACGACCACGACTGCGACGGCGACGGCGACGGCGACGGCGACGACGACGACGGCCGCCTCTGGAAGCGTCTGGAGACCCTGCGGTGCCTTTCAGCTCCACACCATGCCCGAGAGCACGGCACGTGGCTGTGCGGGGGCCGGGACCCCCTCCCAGCACGTTCGCTGTAGTTACGGGCGGGGGTGGGGGGTGTGGGGGGGGTATCCCCCAGAAACGGACGTTACGGGCTCGACGATGAACGCAGACAACCTCGAGCTGTTTTGGGGCGGCCCCGGGGGCCCGTGAGGGAGGGCCCACCCGGGAGGCCGAAACTGTTGAAAGGCCGTCCGTCGGGCTCTCTGCTCGCGACGGCAGGCTCGCCCTGTGTCGCTCCCAGCCTGCTGCCCGCGCGAGCCGGCGCTCTGGCAGACACGGTCTGAGCGCCTGCTCCGCCGCCCACGGCTTCCTCACCCCCCCGGAGGAGGAGCAGGAGGACGAGGAGGAGGCGGAGGAGGAGGAGGAGGAGGCGGAGGAGAAGGAGGAGGAGGCGGAGGAGGAGGAGGCGGAGGAGGAGGAGGAGGAGGCGGAGGAGGAGGAGGAGGGGGAGGAGGAGGCGAAGGAGGAGGAGGAGGAAGAGTAGGTCCGCGTTCACAGTCTGAGCGTGCTTCGCAGCCCGCGGCTTCCTCCCCCCCCCTCCGCGCCTGTCCTCTTTGGTGTGTCCAACTCGGCACCCGAAGGGTCCCTGGGCTGCCCCGACCGCGTCTCGGACCCGAGTCGCCGCGGACGAGACGTCCTTCTGCCGCGACGCGGGGAGGTCGGGGGAGGGACCGCAGCAGCAGCAGCAGCAGCAGCAGCAGCAGCAGCAGCAGCAGCAGCAGCAGCAGCAGCAGCAGCAGCAGCAGGGGGGGGAGGCGCTGCAACAGCAAGAGCGCGACCTGGGGAAACCAAAAGGTACCCGCACCGCGACTCCCCAAACCTCTCTCAAGGTGTGTTCTGGCCAATTTCAAATCGAATCCAACGATAGGCCAGGGTCTGTCGGGCCTTGCAGGATCCTGCAAGATCCTGCAAGATCTTGGGCCCAAGCCCAGGTCCAGTGCGCCCGTGGCCCTGCAAGATCCGGCGGTCTGACTGACCCTGTCTGCAGTGACCCCCGTCTCTTGAGCCCCGATAGGGGGCCTTTTCTGATGGCCCCTCGCCCCGGAAACTGCCCCTAATAGAGGCTGGACCCATGGAAAAAAACGCCACGATTGAGACCGTCACATCGTCGAAGGGAATCAGGAGGAAAAGAAACACACAGACACAATTAATCCTCGATTCCCCAGAAAATAAGGGAAAACACGGGAAGTGGGGGGGAAGACAGACACCCAGAAACTATGGGAATTATGGGGGGCATATTTTTATTTGTGCGTATTTATTTGTGTGTCCTGGGGCCCCTTCAGGAAAGTCTGGGTCTCCGCCGTCCTCGCTGACCGCCATCCCTCGAGCCCCGGAGCCGAGGCGGCCGCGACGCGCTGGCCGCCGAGCGGCGCCCGCTGGGGCGGGCAGGGGGGGGGGGCCTGGGAGCGGGGCCCCGAGGGCGCCAGGACCAGCAGGGCCGCCTGCGGCTCGGGGCGGCCGCGCTCCTCCTCCCTCCTCTCTCCCTCCCTCTCTACCTCCTCCTCCTCCTCCTCCTCCTCCTCCTCCTCCTCCTCCTCCTCCTCCTCCTCCCTTCCCCTTCCCCTTCCCCGTCCCCTTCCCCTCCTACTCCTCCTCTTCCTCCTCCGCCTCCTCCTCCTTCTTCGCCATCTCCTCCTCTATTATTTGTTCCTTATCAATAACGTCTCCCTGTCGCACCGGACGCTAGTTCCTTACCAAATATGACCCTGAAGCGTAAATGTTGACAGCAGTTTTACAGATGGAGGGCGGGTCGTTTTCAAAATGTGGCTGTCGCCTGAGCGCCGCGCACATTCGCTGAAACATGTGCAAGAGTTCCACATGTTGAAAGCGAATGGTTTTCAAACGGTGGCTCTCGCCTTCGCGCTGCGCACATTCGTTCAACCAAACTTGCAGGAGCTTCGCGGATTGAGGGTTGTTCCTTTTCAACATGTGGCTCTCGCCTTAGCGCCGCGCGCATTCGGTGTGAACAAGAGTTTCGCGGATTCAGGGCGTTGCC